CGAAATAGGGTTGGGGTGAAGCGCCGCCACGGTGAGGACGGGACTGAGGGGAGCCTCCTTGTTTCTGGCCTTGAGAATAGAACGCCGTCGGCACGACGGTTTGTGGACGAGCCTTGATGTCAGCCTCAAACTCCACCAGCGAATCCACCAGGTCTTCAAGAGTGAGGCCAGGACCTCGTGCACGAACAGCGGCGGCGAAAGCCTGGTAGTCTTCGCCCAGACCTCTAAGACAATGAACAATCAGGTCAATGTCTTTCACGGGCTCACCAATAAGAGCGAGTTCGGCAGCAGTGGATTTTAGATCGTTGATGAAGGTGAGGATGTCTCGATCTCCCTTGATTGATTTCGCGAGCTTCCCTTTCAGATGAATGACGTGCGATTGAGCACTGCTAGCCTAAAGCTTTTCCAGAGTAAGCCAAGCTTCACGAGCAGTGGAGGCAGCCGAGATTCCGAGACAAAGGAGTAAATTGATTCGTCAATTGAGCATCTCATGGCATGAAGAATGAGTTTATCTTGCCTGAACCAGTTGCGATAAGCAGGATTGGCCGTAGAAGCCTCATCTATTGTGATCGATTGAGGTGGAGCAGTTGTGGTTCCATCCAGGTAGCCAATCAAATCAAGCCCCATGAGGAGAGTTTCAAGCTGAGAGCGCCATGAGGCGAAGTTCGAAGGAGTGAGCTTCAAAGGAAGCTGAGCGGCTGGATTAAAGGTAATGATTTGGATCTCTGAACTTGTAGATCCTTTGCTTGAGTCGGAAACAGTGGAGCCGCCAGTCATTATGATTAACAAAAGAACAGGGGAAGAGAAAAAAAAAGATATGATAAGATGGATCTAGCTTATCGTTGCTAGCTCTGATACCATGTAGAGTTTCAGAGATTGTGGAAATATGAGTTGTTGTTCTCATTGATAATTCCATGATTTAATATACAGAAGTGAGGAGTGAAAATAGCTGGACGTTGCAACATATGCAAGCCACTATCCACAAGAGTAGGAACCGAAAGGAGAGTGGAAGTAAATAAATACAAAAAGAGGAAAAATATTTATATATCTCTAATATAAGTTGCTCTGCTTTAGGCATGAATTACATGTATTTATTAACTTATCTAAATTCTATGCATTCATATTTTACATAGTATATGTCCTACATAATAGATTTTTAGTTATTTTTCAGTATGCATCAAAACCTTACGATTTTACGCTTTACGATTTTACCCCTTTTTCGCTTCTAGATAGAATCGACCTTTTGACTGCATTGATTGGGATGCAAAGTATTGTTAATATTCATTAAATATTGAGATGCAAACTATAAATTATTAATTGTATCAAAATCACAAAATGCGTAAGTTTTCTCTACACAATTGGTTGATAGGGTAGTAAGATTTTGATGCAAATACTACATGGATTCACTTGAGACAAAGTGAGAAGTGTCAGTCTTACTAATTTGATATGAACTTATTATAAATGTTAGTCAACTTTTTTAATGGGTAGTTGGAGAATTGCTTTTGCCGGTTGACCAACGATCCAACTGCACCCATCCGGCACCCACCCAACCCAACCCCTGGAAGAATGTGGGTGGATATATTGTGGATCACAATTATTCCAACTCGCTAGTAAGCGGATGGGTCTATTTGAAACAAAAATCCACCCAACCCGCCCATTGCCCACCGCTATGTTTTACGATGGATGGGAATTAGGGATGTCAATGGGTCAAGTTGGGTCGGGTTTTTCCAAACCCAAACCCATGGGTTTATAGTAAAAAAAAACCCCAGGGTATAACGCAATGGGTTTAGAAAACTCAAACCCAATCGCTGGGTATCCGCGGGTTCATGGGTACCCATGGGTTTTTGTGGTAAAAAATCCACAATAATAAATTCCTATCAAAATAAAAGTCAAACATCAATTTCTTCATACAAATTACCCATACATAAAACACCAGTCTAGAAAATTCAAACAAATCACAAACTATCCATACAAATGTAAATTATATTGGGGGAAATTAGAATTAGAGTATGATTTGGAGAGAGTATGTGACAGAATAAGTGTGCGCGGGTATGCATTGGTCGGGTATCACTAAACCCAAACCCAACCCGATAAAAGTGTAACGGGTTTAAACCCGGACCGAAATCCGTCAACACGAATTTTACCTGCGTTGACCAAATTAGATCGGGTAGGGTACTCGTGGATTCGGGTTTTGTTGTCATACCAATAAGGCAAGGCAGTATGACATTGGAAAATAAAGTTGGGAGGGGAACTTTTCTTTTTCATTTTTATCATTTGTAGTCTTCCTCAACTCTTTTATATAGTATATTAACCTCCGTAGTACCTCATCACTCAAGTTTATATTTATCATAGATGTTTTGTTTGCCAATTAAGCAGTATGCTCCATTTACAATCCAATCTAGACCGATCCAAATTGTTGGATTTTGCAATTATTGAATGGATTTGGGTTTCATGATAAATAGGTTAGGTGACTAAGGTGGTCAAAATCGATCTATCCGATCATGTACACCTATACATATGTGTCCCAAATTTAATAATAACAATCGTGTTACTTTTCTTTATAAATTTATATTAATTATAATCTTGGAATATAAATATTATGGTGAAATTTGGCTGATGTACGGGTTGCAGCCTCACGCTGCTACCCGTCCACATGTCGCCCTACCATTAGTCTAAACTATATGGATTAATTATCAAGCGTTAGTTTCTTTTGGGCGGAAGGTGGAGAAACGGAATGCGGACGGAACGTGATGGACTATGCCTATGTTTGGCCCGGCTTTTAGAAGTGCTTTTCGGCTTCAAAAGCTGAAGCAGGGCCAAACACCTCTAAAAGCTCGGCTTTTGAAAAGCTGAAAAGTGCTTTTGTATAACATAAAAGCAGAAGCTCCGATTTGGAGCTTCTGCGAAAAGCTGTTCTGAAAATACAAAATTATCCTTACCATATTTTAATCTTATTTCAGAAAATATAATTTTATTTCATTTCAATCATTATAAAAATAAAATAAATTATAAAATCATATTATTTAATATAAAAGAAATCTAACAAGATCCATATTGACTACTTTTTATTGTTTATAATTTTTATTCATATTTTATATTTTAAATCCTTTATAGTCATTTTACATAACCTCTCATATTAAAAAGCACTTCTAATAGTTTTTCAGCCAAACACTCAACTGCTTTTTTTGAAAAGTACTTCTCTAAAAGCTACAGCCAGAAGCTGCTTCTCCAAAAGCTACAGCAGGGCCAAACTGAGCTTATATCTTTTGTGTTTATTTATGTTTGATTATTTACTTTGTAAATGTTTTTTTAGATTTAGCTTCTACTTAGTATTTGGAACAATTTTTTTTTTTTTTGCTAAATACTATTTGGATAATAGTAGGGCGCTTTTTAAATTCTCATAATATGCACACAAAATTCTATCTGGAAATAGTTTCATATTGATAGAATCTAAATTCAAAGAACATAATATCAAATTAAGTCTAACATACCGTTTAGTACCAAATGAATCGAGAATTCATTTCATTGTAAAATGAACTACCGTGTAGAATTTATTGTCAAATAGAATCTTGTGTTTGGTATGTCATATTCAAATTGCCGTGTAGAATTCATTTGGTGTTGGGTAATGTCATATGTATAAGTAATTTAGTTAATATAAGAGGATAACTATACCATTCTATTATAACTGGTAAATACTTATGAAATTTGGAAATTCCATCTTAACTCCTCGGAATTGCTATAACTAGTTCCAATTTCATATAATTCAAAATTTAGAATTGAAAATGAATTCTTTTAAATACTAAACAAAAACATGGTTCAGTCCAAAATGAATTCCTCAAAACTTATTGAATTCATTTATACCAAACGATATGTAATAGAACAACACAAATCATCTGAAATGAGTTCTCGCATATATATGAACTGTATTCCATAATAAGAATATGCTCATACGAAATAGACTTTTAATTCTACATAAAAGCGTTTTGGTGACCTAGAATTGTAGAAGCGTAAACTTTTAAGTTTTAAAACATGATTTTGAGTATATTGGTTGTCACTATTTAGGATCGTGTACATGTGGTGCTGTTATGGCATCATGCAAAATGAATTAAGATAAGAATGATACTACTGTTGAGATTTTTAATAGAAATAAAAAAAAATAAAGGAATAATTGAATTGAGTTCATGCCTGTAACAATTGTGTGATTGATATATTACTTACACTAAGTGTAGAATCCAAATTTTCTCCTACAGAAGAAGACATGCTGAAAACAAAAACATTAGTCAAGAGATGGTGTTTATTTGCTAGTAAGTAGGAAGTAGGAACTCGTCCCGTCTGCATTCCGTTTCTCCACGTTCCGTGCAAAATAAATTAACAGTTAAGAATTAATATATGTAGTTTAGGCTAATAGTGGGGTGACACATGGACGGGTAGCAGCTTTGGGCTGCAAACTGTACAACAGCCAAATTTTACCCTAAAAGTTAAATATTCGTAAATTAAATATTCATATTGGTTGGAACTAGTATAACACTATACTAACAAATTGAGTGTTAGTATTCTAGTCGCTCTCCTAAGTATATCTGCTCAACAATTCCCAGCAAGAAGCAATTTTATCTTCATAACTGAAATGATAAACAAACAGAAGTTAAACAAGAGATGGCCAAAATCTTCCACGTTTAGATTACTGGGGAAATCTTCTCCTACGTGCCCATATAAAAGTTCATTCTCTTGGTCCCTGTACTTTTATCAAAATCAATCATTTCGCCCATATTCGCCCCCAACCTTTCCGTAGTACTCGGACAGATAAAGTTATGTAACAGGTGGTTGGGATTCGGTCGGTAAACGGTAAATTGTTTATCGAATTTATCGGTTTCTGTATATTGATATTGGCTAAACTGGAATCGATTACCGATATCGGTTTGTAATCGGTTTACTGATTACTGAATTATCGATAAACGGTTACAAACCGGTATTACCGAAATACCGGGCCCGACGGAGGTGCAATTGGCAGGAGAAAGAACTGAGAAATTGCGTCATTTCTGTTCGTTGGTGTTGGAATAGAATACAAATGGATGTTTTGTTTAGGGTTAATACCACTGGAAATACCAACCTTTAGCGAAAGTGCCATTTATATTACGTAATTTTCGATATGACAATTGTATACCAGCCGTTAAGTTTTCCGTTAGTTGTTAACAGAAAATACAGTCAGCAATGATGTGGCAGCTGATGTGGAAAATTGTAATAAAAAATAAATGTAAAAAACAACCCAAAAAAATTAAAAAAACAAAAAACAAAATCAAAAGCAAAGAAGGAAAATGTCTTCTTCATCTTCCTATCTCTGTCGATCTCTCCCCTTCGCCAACCTCTTCTTCCAGGCTCTGTTTTCGGCTGCAGATTGGGGGAATGATTTTTTTTTTTGTTTATGAGATTTGTGTTAGGACAACCCTAAATCGATTAATCCTCCCACTGTCGAGAATAGACACCGCCTCCCCTTGTCCTCCAAATCCGACACGAACCCTAAATCCTTTCCGTTTCAGTTCTACCAAATCCTGACCTAGCCGCCTTCTTCCCAATCTTTAATCCGCCGGTGGTAGTTAATCGGAATCGCAGGCTATTTCTTCTTCCTCTTCCTCGTTCTCAAGCCACCCAATTGAGCCATCCCACCAGCCACGCCATTGTCGTCGATCCACCATCGCCGAATGAGAAGCTCGACTCACCGAGAAGGCTGGTTTTGGGAGATTGAAGAGGAAGAAATTCAGAGGCAGGGAGAGGTGTCCTTCTTACAGCAATTTTAAAAAGAAAGGGTGGGTCATTCTAATAGTCTAATCCTCACAGCGGCTCCCACCGTTTCTCCGTCCTCCACTCCCTTCACCTTGATTCTCGCCTTCCCTCAAGCGCAGATCCAGAACACCACAAAAGGGAATCTGTGGTGGTGATAAGCGTCATCGATGCTACTCTGTTTCGTGGGGCGTTGAAGAGGAGACAAGGAGCCAGAAACAGAGGAAGCTCCTATCTGTTTCAATTGGAGGTGACCCTCCTAATTCCTTGATTTCGGACGAGGAAGCTTCTGTTTCAAAAGCTATCGCGGGATATGAATTGAGATTGGGCAATGATTTTTTCTGTTTTGTTTATGGGATTGAGTGAGAGAGATAAGGTCGATCGACGACTGAAGATCGAGAGAGGCAGAGGCAGAGAGATGTGATTGACGCCGACGACGTCTCAGGCCACTCCCCTACCCGATTGAGCCATCTCGCTATCCTAGTCGTTGCCATCGATCCACCATCGCCAAAGGAGAAGCTCGACCCGCCGGAGAAAGCTGGGTATGAGATATTGAAGCAGAAGAAAGCTGGATTTTGGAGAAAGCTGGATTTTGGAGAAAGCTGGGTTTGGGAGGGTTGAATTAACCTTCCTTGGCACCCGACGCCATCTTCTTCCCCAACATAATAAAGCTCGCTTCTTCTTCCTCGCCGGCGACGGCAACGGGCTCTCCCCTAGGTGGGTGTGGTCAAGGAAAGGGTGGTTGTGTCAAAGAAAAGTTAATTTTCTATTCAATTATTAATTATTAAATAATTAATTTAAATGTTAAATAATTACTTTTTTATTAATTTTCAACATGGCATCTATGTGTCGCCTACGTGGACAACACACAGGCGCCACTTCATCAATGGTCAGATAAATGTTGACCACCGCTAGGTCAACAGTTAGATCTAACGGTCAACAGAATTTCGCGTAACACAGATGACACAAACCCCTAATACGTTGGAATATTTTTGTGTTTATTGAAAATACGTAATATAAATGACACTTTCGCTAAAGGATGGTATTTCCAGTGGTATTAGCCCTTTTGTTTAAGTTTGGACCTAATGGCATTCACCTCATATATATCACTCGTACCAAATGTCAAAAGAATGATTTTCCTAGCTATTACAAAGGTAATATGTTTACTCTACCAGAACACTCTTGGTTGTTGTACAAAACAATGGTACACCGAGTCTCTCCAGTCGGAAGAATCAGGCTGAGACTGAAGACTAGCAGAGCCGCGGAGGAAGGCTTCTGTCACTGTCCTGGCACGGTGACGGTCCTAGCGGTGGCAGAGGAATGGCAGAGGAGTGGGGCGGAGGGAGTGCTGCAACGCCGGCGACTGAGGTCTGGGAGGCGAGGAGGACGCGAGGCGAGGCGGGCTGGGGCGGAGGGTGCTGCAACGCCGGCAACGCGGCGTGATCGGAGAAGCGGAGTCGCGACTCGCGACGAGAAGATTTGGAGAAGGAGAGGTGGCGGGCGAACTGCGAAGCGAGAGGCAGGTGGGTCTGGAGGCTTGGCCTTGATGATTTTTTTTAATTAAGGGTTTGGGTAAAATGTCGCGTTCCAGGTGACGAGGGCGGTAAAACGCCGCGTTTCGGTAATATCGACTTACCGTCGGTATTTACAGAGACTGGGGCAGTAAATTGGATCTCCCAAGCGGCCCTCGATTACCGTTACCGTTGGTAATCGGTTTACCGTTTACCGCCGGCTATCGGTTCGATAAAACGATAAACCGATTACCGAGTTACCGAATCCACCCCTACCAACAGCGGAGGATGTAATGTAATTTGAAAACAACACCTCTGTTCCAAACGTTTTATGTTTATGAAACCCCTTTGATGGCTTAAAGACAAGCATAATAACTACAGATTACTTTCCCCAACCTTCTCGCGCAGTACCAATATTGCAAGCAAATGTCTCACCAAAATGCTAGCTAGCGGCTACCACACAAGAACCGGACGCTCCAAATAGAACAAACAAGCTAGGAGTGTTCATATAGAATTCATCAACTGCTAATAATTTGACTAGTTAGAAAGAACTCCATAGTGGGGGAAAAAAATGGTTATCCGTATTCTCGTCCTCTTGCTAAACTCAAATTTAAGTAGTAACTAGTAGTCTAGTTATAAAGAGAGAGAGAGAGATATTGGTTCCCAGTAATTAGTAGAGAAAAAGCAGTACTGGGTTCTACTGAATCTGAACAAAAGACCCAAGCTTTTCTCAGTGATGGAGTATCCGAAACTAGTACAATATTTAGTCCCTCGATCTCGAATAAAAAATTCAAAAAACACCTGAATGTATTAGCTGCTGCAGAGGTAGGAGCAGCACAGGAAATCCAGGCAGCCTTGGATGCAGTCGTAGAAGCAAGAACAACTGCAACAGAGGAAGGAAAAAAAAACAAGATTAGATATAAGAAAGTGGTAAACCCATTAATCCTAACCAGTGAAAAAGTAAACAAATCTAGCAAAGTTGGGGATAGCATACGATTCGTTGGTGGCTTGGTCTTGGGCGTCGTCCCCTGCCTCTAAATTCCTCTCTATCGACTGCCCTACTGGTGCTTCCATCTCTGTCTCCTTCGCTCTCTGTTTTTCTGTTTGGGAATGGGCACGGAAAGGGGGGAAAGACGGAAACAGAGTGTCAGAAATCAGGGGAAGGGGGATGGGAAGTTTGGAAATAAAGGAATCGGAATGGATGTGACCACGTGACTGCAATGCGAACCTACCACTTAGTTACAAAACTTATTGTTATATAATAGCGTTGGGGCTTCTTCTGTCCCTTTCCCTTGTATATAATTTGTCTTCTTCTTCGTGTATAGAGGAAGTTTGTACCGCCTACCCTACACTGCTACACTCGTCTTATGCCTCACGTTATTATCGGTAGGATAACCCATAGGAATTGTTCTCTAACACTATCACTATCTTTTGGCAACTACTGGGTGCAAATTTGAGAGGATTGCAAGTTGTTGTGTAAATTGTAGGAGTGTAAATTGGTGAGGGCGTAAGTAGAAAGGAAAAATTATTGTTTGGAAGAAAAAGTATGAAAGTACAAATTTAGTCAAACATGTTCGATTTTGTAAGTTTTAACTATTTAGTCAAGTAAATTGAATGATCCAAACCGTTCCTTACTCCTGAAGTTAAAACCCCCTAAACAACGTCTAAATTAATGATAAATGTAAAAAAATTGATAATATTAATGATTATATCATTATAAAGTAATTATATAAAAAATAAAAATCCATAATTTCTCTGCTCCCCCCCCCCCCCAATCCTCTCCTTCCATTCCTCTTTTGCCCTCCAATTTGGGGTAAGTCGAAATAGTTTAATTTGCACCCTTATTGTTACAAATTAACCAAACAAGTGCAATGTTATGGAAAACTGTGCTTATCCCTCTAATTTGGAGAGCGGATCTCTTACATAACTTAAGGTGCATAACCACGCAACCTGCCACACCACTGCCATGTCATCATTTATGGAAGGTCTCTCATTTTTTCCTAGAAATTTTAACGAGTTATATCTTTTTCATTTTAAGTAATAATTTATTTTATTTTTGTGCACAGATAAATCAGTTAATTTTACTAAGATCATACCATGGTGGTATGGACAGTTATTACCACTATATACCATGGTGGTAATGTTCGGTATTACATAAGATCATACCACGTGGTATGGAAATTGAACATGGTGGTATGACATATCGGAGTGTATGATTTGAATACATAATAGTAGAATTATACGTAACTGTGATTTATCACATTCATCATTGTTTACCAAAAGTTACCGTCTCTATATTATGGGATATGGGGTGGTATATTTTGGTCCTTTTTATTTTAGAAATTTGTGGGTCCAATAAATTATGATGATCTCGTTCCATCTATGCAAAAAAAATTCAAAATTCCAGTTAAAAACAAATGTGTACCAAGGTGGTAACGAATTATATGCATTTTTTTATCGGAATATATTGAAAATTGAGTTCAATTTGTAGAAAACAACGAATTCATTCCATCTGTCAAAAAAGTTGAATTTAAAGTTAGAGCGAAGAAAATAAGAGTCGATTAGAAAATTAAGAAAAATAAAAACTTTTTAATGCTCACTCCTTAGTCTGGGTTTTTTTGGGCCCACTCAAAACTAAGGGTCCATATTTGATTATGCAAGGGTGCATAAATACTGGAAGAACTTTTTCTTTATTTTTGTGTCGATATGCTTAACGACGACGATTTTGCCTCGAATTTTGCATATTCTTGATTCTTATTAAATGATTTTGCCTAATAATCACACGCGGATAAGGATTCATAATTTCATATCCCTTTTCAATGGTTCCCCCAATAAGGTTGTCAACCCACGTATTGACCCGTCAGTTGACCGGCTTTAACTCGACCTAGTAAGAAGAATGAGCCATACTCATCTGCGGGGCGACCCGCTGAAAGGTTATCAGGTTGGAGGTCATATGACATAGTTTTTCTCTTTGGTTTGCGGAATGTGCCTATTTTTCTATTTTCCTCTTCACATAGCCCTATCTTTGAAATAAGTTGAACAATTGAATATTTATGTTATATAAGTATGGGTTAATTTTCACTATATGTTGGATCCAAGTACGATCTTTTATTGTTGTGTAATGTTATATGTTGTTACTCACTTGATAGATGAGATTTGACATCATTTATAAACAATATAAATTTTTTTTCATGAATTTGAGCTAAACTGAACTAAAACAATCAGACCATTAACTCTCAACTAACGTACTCGACTAGGCCAATAGGCTAAACCGAATTGACATCTTGTTCCTAATACGGTAGGAAGTGAAATAGTTATTTGCATTCACCATATTTAATTACTAGCATGGAGCCCGGCCATTTGGCCGTACTAAGATGAGGTATGAAATTTGTGAATATAATGGGGTGTATAGCTTATTGTTATATAGTTTATTTTTAGGGAAACATGTGATAAAAGATTGTGAATTTTAGTAGGAAAGAAGCATTGATGATGCAACGAATCAAAAATCAGGCTTATGCACCAAGTTCGAGTACATGTTACCTTGTGAGACCATATTATTTCTGGTAATATAATGAGGTGGAGTAAGTTTTAAAGATTTCAAGTTCCAGAAAGTCGAATAAATAATCGCCTATCCCGGCGGTCTTCGGGAAATGAGCATCTCACAATCGTTGCTAGCTTTTACCCGACCCGTTGGCCGATTAATTTCCTTTATAAACCTTTTATCTTGTCGTCAAAGTTATTAATTCGAATGGAACGATCCATTCATCAACTCACGAAAAGGGTTAAATGGTTAACCTAGGATCCAACTCGATTAGCCTAGTTTTTCTAATTTGAAACATATATTATGCTATTAGTTTATATAATATATGTATTTTAAAGTTATTAAATGGTTGAACCTCGACCAACCCGATTAGTCCAATTTTTATCATTTCAAATATATATTATGTAATTATTTGATATCATAATGATTAAATTATAGTATTTTTTATTGGGAATTATTTGGTATTTGTTAGTAAAAAAAACTAAATAGAAAGATCCATTTGGTTATTTTTAACACTAAAACGATCCTAAACATTTTTAGTTTCCTTTCGAATTTCTATGGTTTTGTTCCCGAAGCAATGATGTGCAAATGGCGAATTGCAGTCTTCTCTTTTCTTTCACTATTTTTTATTTTTAAATAGAAAGTTTGAAAATAAAGAATAATTGGAGTTTTGCATGGGTTCGGTCAAACTAAATTTCAAGTTTTTACCCGTTTGATAAAGGCTAATTTATAATCACATGGTTCCCTGACACCCGATAAAAATCTCAATCCAAACAGTTCGGCAGCTGAGTCCGTGTTTACCATCATTTTCTAGTGATACAGAAACGAGGGTTCCTATCCCAAATCGTGTTTTTTCGTTCTTGATTTCTTTAAATTTTATCATGGCCTGACAAAAACCAGAAAGCACAATGAATCCACCGGACCCAAAATCGCCAGAAAGGAGGGTGAAAATCGCAAACACAACGGATGGATCTCCTGACCCAATCTCCTTCACGATTCCCCGACCAGATCTGCTCGTCTACTGGGGAGAAGCAAAGACAGAGGGGTATGGAAACGGCTTCCGATTGGGCGGAGAAGTGGAGGTCGTGTCACCAGAGGTCCACAACGAGAAGAGGCACGCACTCCTCATAGAATTGATCGCGAAGAATCAGAATCGGTGTACATGCGAATGCGATAAAGTTGTTG